TAATTCAAGTAATCCACACCCTGTCACACTCTTCCCACTGTTGGAAAAAAATGACCTCCGTGTCATCTCCCGCTGGTTACGGCTAGAACTGCCAGCCTGGCACACGTCGGCGTGGACCACCTTGGAGTAGTAAAATTGTTCGCCTTCCCAGAAACAATATATATAGAGGAAACTTTTAATGTCATTTCAACTTCAAAATAGTAAATTGTTTATGCTTTTTAGCTTTTTATTGGCTATATATATGTAATAACTGAGAATCTTAGGAAACATCTCCTGATCATCATATAATTGTAGATATGGATATAGAGGCATTTGTTTTGCCTGTGTCCATTATTTACTTATTATCATTATTATTTAATTATTATTATCATTATTATTATAACGGTAGAAAAGTATCTCTCGTGATTTACAATATTCAGAAATAACTTACATAGAATTGTGGGTAAGGTTCATTTATATCCTAAATGTGTACAACTAATTATATTTCCTTATTAAGCCATTAATATTTAGGTTGAAAATTTGCAGACATATCAATTACACACTGAATACTTAGATACACTCGTAATTAGGGCTTTTCACCCAAAGGTGAAAAGACCTATTGTTTTTGTTAAGTTTCTTATTCTTGTTCTTCTTATTCTTCTTCCGTATTTTGTGGAGTCTCTATCTTTAGATGAGTGAAAGAAAGGTTGATGGTTTTGTTAGTATGTTTTTAATGAAGGTTTGAAGGTGTTACAGGAACATTTTCAAATAGGTCAAACATCCAATATGGCCGCCATGACGTCATAAACTAAAAACATTAAAATTGCTGTAACTTAAAAACCATTCATTGTGGAGAGTTTGTGCAATTATATTATTTGTAGAGAATTTCCATATCTTACTTTTTTTCATGCCATATTAATACAAAATATATCAAATAAAAAAGCTCGCTGTGGGGTAAAGTTTTCAAAATATGACAATTTTTTTTTCTTTTGCAATTTTGAATTTCCTTGATATTTTCTTCTTCAGATCGATGTAGAACGTTCTTCCGATAAATTTAGTGTTTTCAGTTCTTCTAAAACGTTTACCGTTTCCGCTGTACGCCATTTTGAAATTTTTCAAATTTTTTTTAAATGCCTACAAATAGGAAAATCTCGTTCTAGATCAATATTAATGGGCTATATTTTATCAAATTGTCACTGAGAAGATTTCCCCAGATGTCTTCTACCATTTAGTGACATTTACAAATTCTTCGGAAATACAAAATGGCCGCCATGACGTCATTTCTGATTTTACCTAAAATAACGTAACTCAAGAACTGTTTAAGCTAGTGACCTCAGTTTTAATCATATAATGTAAATTAACAAGTAAACACTTTTCACACTAAAAAAACTGGGATCAAAGGTCAATTTCCGGTTTTCGGTAGGGGTCAAAGTTCAAAAGTGCTATTTTGAGTTACAAAATTTAACAAACTTCTTCTCAAGTTCTGCAAAGCCTTGAGTCTTGATATTTCATGTGTAAGATGTCTGTTTAATTATCTATCAAGTTTGTTAATAGAAATGACCTTGACCCACTTTCAAGGTCACAGGGGTCAATTATGTAAAAATAGTTAAATGGTAATTTCTCCATTGTTAAGCTGCCCAAAGTCTTCAACTTTGGACATAAATATTCTGTGGACATTTCCTGTCGACTGATATAAGAGAAACGTACCTCAAAATTCAACTTCCGGTTTGCGGTAGGGGGTCAAAGTTGAAAAGTGCTATTAAGGGTACTAATCTTTGAAAAAACTTCTTCTCAAGTTCTGAAAGGCCTAAAGGCTCTCTATTTCACATATATGAAGCATATGTAACTGGCAACAAAGTTTGATAATATAAATGACCTTGACCCACTTTCAAGGTCACAGAGGTCAATTAACTAAGAATCGTTAAATGACAGTTTCTCACTTTCTAGAAGGCACACAATGATGAAAATTGATTATAAACCTTTTGTGGACGCTTCCTATTGATTGTCATGAGAAAAACTTCCCTAAAACTTCACCCTCCGGTTTTCGGTAAGGCACAAATTTGGAAAGCGCTATTTAGGGTACCAATATTTGAAAAACTTCTCAAGTTCTGGATGGCCTAGAGGCTTGATATTTCATATACAAGAAGGATATGTAACTGGTAACAAAGATTGATTATACAAATGACCTTGATTCACTTTCAAGGTCACAAAGGTCAATGATGTAAAATATCGTTAAATGGTAATTTCTCAATTGTTAAGTTGTGCAAAGTCTTCAAGTTTGGACATAAATATTCTGTGGATATTCTCTATCAACTGATATAAGAAAAACTTCCATCAAAATTCAACTTCCGGTTTTCGGTGGGGAACAAAGTTCAAGGGTTCAATTTTGTGACATAAAATTTTAAAATCTTCTTCTCAAAAACCAAAAGGCCTAAGGTCATTATATTTGGTCAATATCATACTCAAGTAGTGGAAAATAAAATTTGTGAATATGAACGACCTTGATTCATGTTCAAGGTCACAGGGGTCAAATATATTAGAACCTTAAAAAATGTTTAATTTATTTTGATGTAGTTATACTTCCTTAACGTTTTAAAATAGATATGTTATAGATATTAACAAACGAAGAAACTTTCTCATATATCGTTATCAGGAAAAATATCAACTTCGGGTTTCCGAAAGGGGTCAAAGTTCAAATATATAAAATAGGGTACCATTGTTCAACAATCTTCTTGTCAAGTTTCACAAGGTCTAGAGAACTAATATTGGGGATATATTGATCATCAGATGTTACATTATAAGGCTTGCAAATATGAATAACCTTGACCGACATTCAAGGTCACATGGGTCAAATATGTTTAAAACTTTTTAAAGTGTATTTCTTCGTTATTATGTAATTATATCTCCTTAAAGTTTCAAGATACAAAGTTCATCTTTGGATATGTTGTAGACTTTAACAAACAAGGAAACTTTCTCAGATATTGTTATCAGGAAAAATGTGAACTTCGGGTTTCCGAAAGGGGTCAAAGTTCAAATCATTGTTGAAATGTACAATATAGGGTACTAGTTTTAAACAATATTCTTCTCAACTTCCACAAGGTGTAGAGCACTAGTATTTAGTATATACTGATCTATAGGTGTTGTTTTATAAGGCTTGCAATTATGAATAACCCTGACTACCATTCAAGGTCACAGGTGTCAAATGTATATGAAATCATCAAACAAAAAGCATGGGGAACTGATATTAGGCTTGTAACTGGGATGAAGGACTACCATTTTTGTCCTGAGTAAGAGTTGTTATTTTCTAAGTTGGTCCGATATCCAAGATGGCTGGCATGACCGCCATTTTGAAAAATGGATGTTTTTGAACTGCTCAGGTCAGCTTGTGGATTTCTGTTTAGGTTTGCCGTAAATGAAGCTGAGATAAACTTAAACTAGTGCTGTTTTTCGGGGAGTCTGTCCGATATCCAAGATTGTCGCCAAAGAAGTGAAAAGTCCGCAAAATTGTTAGCAACAATTTCTAGTTTTAAATGTTTTGCTTACAAAGAGACACATGTGACCAGCCTTTGCGTACAGACACACATCATATATAGATTGTATATGTAAAAATTAAATAGACGTCTCTTTATGTCACAGCAACGAAGCATTTCAAATCTCATACCGCCAGAAAGGAAATTCTATTTTCATTACTTTTTTGTATTACTCTCATTTTCATTCAGTTTGTAAACAAAAAATATATGCTCGGATAAGTGCTGTTTTTGTAACACGGGGAACCCAGCCGGTACGGACCCACACATACCCGTATACAGGTAAACTTATTTTTTTTTTGCCGGAGGCACCACAACTTGTCACTTTTTGAATTGTTAAACTATATAAGATAAGAATAATTAATGCAGGTCCAGTGTTATTTTGAAAACTGTCGAATAAAAAATGATAATGTTATGATCACCGATCAATATTAATGTCTATATGATTGCTATTTAGTTATAACTTTACGAATTTTCAATCTGCAGTATTAGCCAGCCATTTACCAAACCACACAAAATATGCAATCCTATCGCAAGGTTGTTAGTACGATACTTATCGTGCGTGTGTGTACATGATGTGCAATGTATGCACTATGTGTGCACGAAAGTTTAAGTGAGTTGTGCGTTACCAGAACTATAGAGTACTATAACATTGAAATAGCGTTTGCAGTGATATGAAATATACACCTTGTGCACGTGAGTGTCTTACTGGGGCATTATTATGGCGTTTTTGTGGTACATGTATGTATCATATGGATGTCCACGATTGAAGCCTCTCTGTTTCACTCCTGTAATATGTACCCACATGGTAAATACAGTCGAATAACAAATTCATCTTCGCTTAACTCTACAACAGTACTTTTGATGATAATAAGATATATAAGAGCCAATTTAAACGGAAGTGGTCTTAATAATATATACAATATGCTGATTATGCTTGTATCACACTGCATGAGTGTAAAATGATGATGAAAATATTCCTATTTACTATAGGTTGTAATAAGTATGCATATATATGGACCCTGGAGCTGGTAATGTGTGTCCCGTCATCAGGCAAAATTCAGCGTAACGTAAATACACAAGACACAACAACACTGTTTAAGTTTCAATAGTCAAATTTTAATTAATGTTGTAGGATTAATAGAAGACACGGTCAGTTTCTTAAAATATAAGCTGTATTTTGGCTCGGGACACAAAAGACAAAAGTGGCTCGCCTAACACTTGCCACTTTTGTTTTTGCTCGCCAAGATACAGCTGATATTTTAAGACACTGACTATGTATTCTTTATTTAACTGGTTTAAGACTCGAAGAGCAACACGTCTGCCATCAAACAAAACAATTAAATATTAAATATTTAGAAATAAATCACAAGAAAGAAAGTATTGCTGAACTTTACTAACCATGAAACAGCGATTTGTATTGTCTCAGAATGTTCACATCGTGCATTGTAATCTCCAACATCCTTTCCTGTTGACCATACCACCAGAAAACTGTCAGACACCTTTAAATGAGTTGAGATCAGTAGGGGCATGACACACATGTTTTCCAGCTGGTGATATGTGCCAAGCTGCGATATCACGATAAACTCTCTTGTAGCTTTCAGGATTGTGGAGTCTTTCACATATGCTACAGAATGCCGAATTCCAATCTTGGTACATGTCCTCTGTATGATAGTGTTGTTTCCATCTAAAATATTGTAAATACGCTTCCCTATTACCAGCCAACATCTTCATGTGCTCGGCTAGCTCCTTTACTGATTCATAGTCGTTCGTGTTTAGATAGGAATGAGGAGGATGGAACATAGAGGCGTTTCCTCCGTCCCGAATCACTGGTATAATTGGATGTTGCATCACACGGTGGAGAGATTTTTCTGTCGTGTAATCTTTACAAAGGGAATTTTCTAACGAAAGAAAAAACTTATATTGTAAAAGAAAGGTACCGAAGCAATCAGGCTTCAGTTTACCAGATACGTTAAAACTAGCTTGATACCTCCCTTCATTGTCACACTTTATAAGCTTAGTTCCACAGGAACCGAAAACATCTACTTGTATACCGTGTGATTGTAATATTTTTATAAACTGTAATCGTTTGCTAACAGTTGGACAATGACTTATAAAAACTACCGCTGTTTTACTTTTCTTTGCAAAAATATCGTTTAAATCCTTCTGAGTATGTTTCGGACGGCGGTTTTTCCTGAAATAACCATGTGCAATAGGAAAATCTGCATCTCGCCGATATGTCATTGTCCAATTCACTTTATTTTTAAGAACATGAAAACACTTAGTTTGAAAATAATAGTTTGGTGTCTCAAATTCAGCAAATATCCACACCTGACTTGGAGGTTTGATTGGTGGACAGTAACCCATATCTCTTGGTTTAAAAATTATTGCGTCAATTTCCTCCATTGGAACATTTCCTTTTGAAACAATACAATTGGGTACCTTACACGCTTCAAATTTCTTTGATGTGCCCCAAGTATCCAATATCCAGTCATTGAAAACATGAAAAAACTGTGGATTGTAGAAATAGATGTTTTTTGTTGTTTTCATTGCTGGTTTCTTCCGATGTACAACAGTTGTATTGTTTGTTGTTTGCAGAATGAAACCTGGTTTTAATTTATATACAACTGTACTTGAAGCTTTATTCTCAGACCACAATACGATGATAACGACAACCGAGAGAGTGACACTAAACAATACGAGCCTTTGAAACGTCTGCTTCATTCTACAATGAAAAAAGTGTTAAATCTTATTGAAAATGTTATTAATATATTCATTCTTATCTTCGTTTGTAGGTCTACGAATCTTGATGTGAATATAAATCAATTTTTAGATATGTTTTGTATACAAAATGTTTATGGTCGAGATTAACGAAATCTGCATTTGCAAGAAATCCCTTTTGAAATTATGTAAAGCGATTTTTTTAAACTTTTTAAAAAATTATTTATTTCTATCTTGCATAATAAAATTATCATTATAATAGTTTTACATATATGATATTTTAACCGTTTAGTTGAAAACGTAATGCTGCTAAGGATTCGTTGTTAATGTTTTAGGATTTGGTATATCTCGAAAAAGAACATTAGAGTAGCATCACTGATACTTTCCTGACTTCATTAAAAAAAAATTCAAATAGAAAAACAAATACACACTTCAAAAGTCACAAAAATATATTCCTAAGGCTGAAAGCGATTTGGAATAAACACAAAAATATTTTTTAAAAAAAAACCTGTAAAAAATGAGGGAAATCAAAGCCTTGAAGGATGTTAACAGACTTTTGGTTTTGGTATTGTTTGAGTTATCTATACCTCATGCTAGCTTAATCATATTTATTTACATAAGCCATGATCTTGTGTCACAGTTGAAGTGTTTCTACAGCTATTAATTTATTTCTAATATCTGCTTGTCTTCGAATTTGATTAAGCAACACGCCAGTGGCAAATTTTACTTAACTGTTTATACCATCCAGATTCCGACTCGTGTAAATCATACGTACATGTATATCTCATCACCGTATTAATTACTTAGATATTATTTTATATTACTTATATTATATTTTACTTCACTTTATTTCACAAATTTATCAAATACTCCATATACCTCTGATAAATATCTTGAATTTAGCGACAGGTGTTGTATTGTCATTAAGATTCGTGTAGTCAATATTCTAAACAAGTACACTGGTGATATGCTTGTACATTGATGAAATGAGACACCCATTTGATATTACTAAATAACAATGAGATACAAGCTGTTGTTTTATTCGATTTAAAATTAGTAAACACGCTTGAAAACTAAACTAGTTTTAATATAATGATTAACAAGTAGATATAACTGTACTGGCCGTGCTTGATGGTGCCATTTGCGTGACCAATATTAAACAGTATTAAAAATTGTATATACACATTATTAACATCATGAGCGTTGGTGTGTAAAGTATTAATAGAAAATTGAGTTAATAGTGTTCATGTCATTTGTCCTCAACCCTTTTGCTTATTTTGAAAATAAAATATGTTTAAATTGAATTAAACTAACAGTTGTAAAATATAGGAAAGAAAAATATGCGTTTTTCTACAATTCAACAACAGACAAAAATTAATTGTTTAACATTGTCTGCTTAATATAATGATGCACGTTGCATCTTACTAAGAAATAGGTGAGTGAAAAGTTCCAAAAAAGGGGGTTAATAGGAAACAGGAATCAGTGGTTCAAGACTATTAAACACACAATTATTCCGATCTTTAGCACAAGGACTACGTTTCGTCTAAGAACAACTCGGTAAGAATTCACTTTTTTGTTTTATAAATGACGGTTTATACATTTTTAAATATCATTGTTATCGTTTTAATATTATTAACGTAGCTTGTCTCAAACCATATAAATAACTGACCTTAAGATCTGAATTTAAGGACCTTCGGAAAAATATTTCATAATCATCTTAACAATTGACCAGGTAATAACCGATATCGAATACACATGAATAAACATATTCAGAACAATAGTAAGAGATCTTGCAACGGTCTACGTTACAGTTTTCATTATTTTTGCATAGCGCTCACCCAAGAGTACTTTTCACCAGAAGGCAGTAGCAAAGAGATTTCTAGACTTTACTTAGATTTAAAATCATATAAAACTAGACCATACACTAAGTGTTGATTAAGTAGGAAATGCCCATAGGATATGAGAACAGGGTGTCATTTATTAACATTGATCAGAAAACATTATGCCATCCGATATAGAAGACATCATTCGAGTTTAAACATGGTAAAATATCCAGAAAGCAAAATATTAATTTACTCTTGGCTAATAACTTAAACTCACTTCGCTTTTTACATTACGAATGGTTAACATTTTTGTCTCCAACAAGACCTGTGGAATTTAAAATGATTTCCAACACAACGATTATTTTGAAGGAAATGATTATACAAATACAATGAAATGTAAGTGACATATTTACCTTAGAGTTTAAGTATTGTGAAATACAGTAATCCAAAATGAAAGGCACAACGTTGTTGTTCAGTTGTGTAGTTCGTATAGTGCTTAACAGAATGGGTGAACACATTATCGAGCTTTCCAGGTCACCACACATGAGTGAATACCAAATCTACATATATAGTTGGTAAACACTCACACCGGGTGTTATCAATACTACTTAAAGTCAAATGAACGTGGTACCTACACCTTTAAACTCTCTGAATATTAAACATGAAATATTTGAGTAGCATTCAACCTGACAACGACGTTAAAACGAACCATACAGTGCTTTACAATATACAGAAAAGAATGTTATTGTACATTCAACAAAACATCGCAGAGAAAGGACGAAAAGCTTTATTTGCAGTTAACAGTCTTTGATACATACTTTTATAGTTATGGGTCCGAAATATGGGGCTTTCATAAAGCACCTGAGGTTGAAAAAATTCACCTGATGTTTTGTTAAAGATTATAAATGCTTACGTTTTAAGAGATCAATTGAGCCAATGGTTTGTTCTCTCCGGGTCTGAATTATGTCTGTAATCATGTATTTGTATATTGTTATAAATGTTTTAAGTTGTTACTTTCCTGTATCCGTTGAGTTAATTGACTTAAGGTAATAGGTAACTGGAACTTCAATGTACAAGGACAGACACACAGACAGACAGACAGACAGACAGGCAGACAGACAAATATTCTTCATTTTCTCCTTTAGGAAATTTCGTAATCAAAACAAGTTTATCTTAATTTATATGCAAGCATAATTATGTGTTTAATATCAACATAATGCCACTAAGCATACACAACTCATAATACATAATGTTAATTTAATGTACAGTAACAATAAATGAGAAGCGTTCAGTTGATATCTGATATCTAAGCACGTCGTTTTCAAAAAACGTGAGGGATCAGTATGAAATATGTCACTGAAAGTGATCTTGTTTCTTACAATGAGTGCAAATGAATATGAATCTTTATGAAATCATTTGGAAAAGAACAAATTTTTCATACCTGTATGCACTTGTGTCTTTGTCACCGTCAACCATCTGAAAATAACAGGTGACAACATGCCATCACTGATACACGCTGCAGTATTATTACTAACTAACTCAGCTTGCTGAATTTTTCATGACACAAAAATCAATTTCATGGGTATACGCCTATAAACACCCTCATCTGTATAAAAATTACCACTGAAGCACTAAATTATTAATGAGACTTCGATGATGTGTGGGGTTGCGTCTAATTACTTGCTGGCATAGTTAGAATATAATATGATATGTTATGCTGGCTTTGAAGTTAGGTGTACTTTTGTGTTTTGAATCTTCAAAGGAACATACCAGTTTGTGATTTGTTAGTTCTTTTTCTTTTGAAAACCTTATCTCGGCCAGTCAAATAACTTAGCTTGTGTCTTCATTTTTGCCATGCAATAGAGCATCGCGGATGAAGATACAGTTGCATAGCACATAACAATACAAAAATTGAATTAGAAACAGAAAAAGTAGAGCTAAACAATGAAGTTAAGTGCATCATACAGCTGTTTCATCTTTACAGTTATTTCAATTGTTGAGTGAAATCTGTATAGGAAATCTACAGATTATTTTCAGAAACTTCACCCTTGACTGCAATACAAAATTCAAGACTAATACTTCTGTTTTTTTTCTCGTATTGTATCATCATTAATTGATCTTTAACATTTTAAAGTTTATCAAAATAAAAATTTCAAAATGACGTCCTTGTTGGAAATATAAATCTTATAACAAATTTCTCTAAAATGTCATGTTAAAGTTTATTTTTGTTCAATATTGTGTCTTTTTAAATCAAACATATATATATTATGTATTAAATAATTTACTATAAAACTGGAAATCGCAAACTTAATATTTTGCTTACTTAGCTCCGACACCATTGCAATTCCCTTTATTATGATCTTTTTAAAGTTATCCTCATTGAGAATGCATCTTGTGAATGTGGTCATCCTTGTGAGAATGTTATCACTATTTTCTGTTTATGTCAACGTTTGTCGAACGAAAGACGTAATTTAGTTCAAAATTCAAATAAATGGAACGTTGCGATAGATATAGAAATTCATTTGTCTGGCAATTCTCAATTTTCTGTGGACCTTAATGCAATCATTTTTAGATCTGTGCAAAACTATATTAAATCCAGCAAGAGATTTTGATGCCAATGTGTAACAATAATTGTATATTTGTATTGTCATGATTGTAATGTCATTTAAAATGTATATTGTGCCTAATCTTTTGTCTATCTTTGTGTTATATGTCTAAACTAATAAAATTGGTCGAAATACATTTTTGTCATAAAGGTTATACAAATACCTTTAAGTCAAGAGTGTACTAATATAAATGAAAATCAAGTGTAGATTTTTTATTCCTCGCTTACAGTTTGAAATGGCCACTGAATCTTTTATCGAAAAGGGAAAGAAAAATCTTTAAAGTAAACCATCAATATATAAAGAATATGATAAATTATATAATCATAATTATTTATTTCATGAAAACCTGTCTCTAAATCATGAATTAAGCAGCAAGTAAAATTCGAAGGTCTTCTTTTAT